AATGAACTGGTCTCTGCATGCAAGAAAGAGAAATCCAATTTGCCACATTATGCCCCAAATTTATAGATGGCTCAGCAGATCTGTATTAGCTGATAACATACTGGAGCACGAAGAGGAAAACCACTTAAAGAAGTCTGTTCGTGCCTCCTGGAAGGCAAAGCCCCAGTGGGTCCTCACAGTGAGGCCAACAAGCCACAGCCAACCCCCACAGAACATCTTCCCACTGAAGCCTCTCCTTTCTCAACTGCTCCAACTCCCTCTCCTTCATCCTCTCCCACTTTGTATAAACTATCAACTTATCTTTTTCTCCTTTCTGAAGGGAAGTCAGTTAATGTCCATCCAGAGCATATGGTTCAAGGTCCTCTGCAATCCAGAGGCCATGGAGCTCCACCTCCCAACAACCCCACGCACCCTTTTTCTCCATCTATAAGCCCACTCCCCAAATCCCATCCTTAACATTTTCCTTGAAGGCTCTACCAGCCCTTTTCTAACAAGCTCAAACACAAATTCCTGTATGCACTGTGCCTTACCGAAGCGTAGCTCGCCAAAGGCGACAAAAGAACAGGAGCTGAAATCCACCCTCTGTTCTGCTTGCCAAGCCATGCTCTCTGACACCAGACAGCCTGGAGAAATAGGTGTCCTTTCTACATTTGCAGAAAACGGTCATGTGTACTTACAGAGGTCACAGTCCCAACATGTGTATCCTGAGCCTTGACTGGTTTTCCCCTATAGCTCTAGGTACAGGTGTTAAAGTAGCGAAGGCATGCCTGCAGTTCGAGTTCTACAACATCTAATTCTATGCCACACTGGGAAGCCAAGGTGATTGGTCATCCCTGTGCCCTTACACTGCCAATAGCAAAGAGTTGGTCCTTACACTCTTTACAACATTGGGGGACGGGGGGGGGGGGTGCCTTCAGAGGAAAGGTAACTATTCTGAACCCTCCAGGATACAGACGAACTGCTGGAAAAAACGCACACAAGGCACCCAGGGCCCGGGCAGAAGACGCTGCAGAGCCCTCTGACGGAGGATGATCTTCTCTTACAAGGGCAGACGGCAATACGTTCATATCTTGACAATTTAAACAAGTAACACAAAGTACTTCAATAAAAATGTGCTTTTCCTTGTTAAAATCCTACAAGTTAAAACCCCAAATCATGACATACAAGTTTTCAACAAATGGGCTCTTCTCTGACTCTCAAACCTACTTCTAACCACTGCCTGGCACTGTATATCCTCTACTCCAGTCACAAAATCACTTGCAGGCCACCGTAGGCCCATCTTCTCTCTTGGTGACTCCCAGAGTGCTGGTAGGGTATGTTTACTGTGGCCCTGATCACATACATGTCCCTAGACTCACGCATGCACTGGTCACCACCCCAGCCCCACTCTCCAAATTCTGTCACTTATGCTTTGGCACGTCAAAAACTCTTTTTTTTTTAATCAGGCTACGGCCTAGTTAATTACTGTTTGGGTTTTAAATGTCGCTACCTCTGTGAAGCCTCCCCAGATTCTAAGTGCTCCTAATTCTAGAAGTTTCCTTCATAGCACCTAACATAAATGAAATAACTTGTGCATCTCGCATAACAGATCCAAACAGGGTAGAATCACAACAGCATCTGTTAACTTTTATGTTTATTTCCATGTGCCTCCCCTTCACGAGCCCTGCAACAGAAAATCATGCAGTAAACACTGATTTGCGCAAATGCTGGATATATAGAATTGGACCTGGAGAGCTGTGCTGACGACATCAGTAACCCCATTCCTCAAGTGGCCACTGGCTCCTTCAAGCATGGTGTGGTGGAGTAAACTAAAACATACTTCAAACATGAAACACACAACCAGATTTCAAGGACTGGAAGAGGATGGCAGGAGGGTATCTCCATTTTTTCATAAGCATCCACCTTCTTTTATGTGCTAAAAGCTACGGTTGTGGAGTGGGCACTGTAACATCGTGGGTAAAGCCACTACTTGCCACACTCACATCGAGTACGGGTGCCAGGTTGCCTCCTGGCTGCTTCCTGTCTGATCCCACTCCCTGCCAGCGGCCTGGGAAAAGCAACAGAGAATGTCTGAGTGCAGGAACCCCTGCCAGCGGCGGGCGTCCCATCCCTGTCCACCCCTACCTACTGCAGTCACGGGGGAGTGAGCAGGCAAATGGAAAATTCCGTCTATCCCTCTGTAATTCTGGATACATTGTCAAATAAAATACACTGCAATTAATTTTAAGAAAAAAAGGATTTATTTATTTAAAAATCAGAGTTACATAGAGAGATCCTGGAACGCCATGCAGGTCCCCCACATGGGTGCAGGCACCAAAGGATTTGAGTCATCCTCTGCTTTTGTGGGCACATTAGGAGGAAACTGGAACACAGGTAGAGCAGTGTCCTTGAACCAGAGTCCAAAAGGGATACCAGCAGTGTAGGCAGAGGCTGTCCCTACTGTACCACAATGCTTTCGAGTCTTATTTCTTATTGGTACTCACTTGCAAATCTGAAATAGCAAGTGTAACAGGCCCATCTGGCTGGCATGACTGTACCACTGGCCAACGCTGGGCTAGCATTCCCTAAGTCTCAAAGGCTAAGAAGGCTAATTCTGTTTTCTTGAGCTCCCATAATGAGCACCGATTGTGCTGGGAGGCCCTCAGGGTGCCCTTCTCCACTGTATTCAAAGTGTGTTATAGCATCTTATTTCCTATGCGATCCTTCTGTAAACTCTTCCTGAGGAATTTAACAATAATGGAAATCATCCCTTATTTCCCTCAGAAGCCATATGTCGTAGGCTGTTATAGCTAAGCCTTACTTAGAACTTTCTTAAAATGGAATAAGCTCGCAGAAGTAAACTGCCAGGGAGCGGGAGAAGGAAAAAGGTAACCCACCTTGATAAGGAAAAGGAAGCATCATCAGAGAGAACACGGTTTTCCCATTGAACAATTCCAAAGGTTTCTTAAAAATATCAAAATTTTCTGCAGTAAATTGTTACTTCAGAAAACCTATCAGCCTACCTAAAACAAGCCATTTCTCTACAAACTACTTAACATGCATCTGCACATCCCATAACGCTTTGGCTGATAATGCGACCACAACGTTAACGCTCCAGAACTGCACCAAGTTGTGGTTGCTGTGGGAACCTTCACTGCAACGGCAGAGCACACCGACGGCCTCCCCTCGAGCCTGACTCAACGGAGGATGCGTACTTAGTCTGCTCAGTAAGGCACAGCTACAGTTACTGAGAGAAACTAATTTTGGCATTTCTAGGCTTTCATGCATTTACATTCTCGACCTTACCACAGTATACTGTATTGCTTGCTACACTGCATTGTCTCCTCCATAGGGAGAAACAGGCAGAAAAAGAACTGATTGGATAGACATTCAAATCACACATCCTGTGTATTTTTGATGCATGAACCGATTCAAAAAACGACAATCATGATATTTTTATTTCACTCTTATGGAAAGCCAGTAAACTCTCACACAAATGAAAACAGGGCATGCATTTCAACTTCTGAGTGTATCAAGATGTGAGTATGTGTACAGCACTAGAGAAGCAATTTCTCAACTTCAGACAAAGTATAAAAAAGGTAGACAGCATTCAGAACTAACATCAACTACAATGTTTCATTTCTGAAATCTATGCAAACAGGTGCCATTAACTCTGAGGATCTGGTTACAATTAATCAACAGAGGTATTAGGTATTTAAGAGGTAACACTTACAAGAGGGCAATACAAACAACAGGAAGGGTATTTACAAAAACAAGACACTTAGCAGGCTAATCCTCCTACAGCACTGACACCCAATATGGGCACCAGCATGAGTCCGGTGGGCTCTATTGCCCATCCAGCTCCCTGTTACAGCCTGGGAAGCAGCAGACCCACTCAAGCCCTTTGCCCTCTGCACCCATGAGGGAGAAGTGGAAGGGCTCCTGGCTTTTGGATTGGCTTGGATTTAGCCACTGCAGCCATTGGAGGAGGGAACCAATAGAGGAAAGCTCACTTTCTTTTTGTCTCCTCCTCTCTGTAAGTGTGCCTTTCAAATAAAAATAAATCTTCATTTAAAAGAAAGATGCCAACTGTAATGCCAGCTAACTGGAATCCCATATGCTACACTTCTGATCTAGCTCCCTGTGTCTGGGAAAGCAGCAATACCTGGGCCATTCCCACCTATGTGGAGGTTTCAATTCCTGGCTTTGGCCTAGACTAGCCCTGACTGCCAGACAAGTAAGCCACTGCACCAAAGATATCACTTGATCCCTCTGTCACACCACCCTTCAAATAAATATTTTAAAAAAAAAGACTATCAACATAAAGCTGTCAAACTTGCTACTGAAAATAACTTCCAAAAAAAGAGAACAGGAGTTCCCAAATTCTTACCCTTAATGTTAAATAACACAGAAAGGCAAAAAGAAAACCACCATAAAATCTGAAACAAAATTGTATATCCATATATTTAACACCAACTCTAGACGTTTTCACACAAAGCATAATTTGTCAAAACTGACTTACCCGTAACTGAGGCAAGCACCTATGTGGCCAAAAGGCCCAACAAATAGCACAGCCAGTATTGTCAACAGTAATTGCTAGCACTTGCAAAAGATGCGTGATAGCCTCCGAGGAGAAGCGTAAGGGGAATCAAATCAGAATGATCAGGGAACTCACCCAGTTATCCCATACATGAGACACGGAGCTTCCTGTCTCCTTATTCACAGACAAGGAAAACCTTGCTAATAAAAGAAAAAGCTCATCCAGCCTCACACATATACCAACCCTGACTGCTCCCAAGGCCCCTGAAGGATGACAACGGCGCCATCTGAAACGGAGTGGAACAGTGCGTGTGAGTCGGAGGACTTGAGGCCAGTTCATGGTAACCAGGCTAGAAACTTTAGAAATCACCACTTTGGAGATTAAAATCCCTGCCCTTTTATACTCCCACATGCATGCCACACTTAGTACCTACTGCTCCCTCCGCTTTCCATGAGCAGGCCGGGGGCTGCCCTGGTCTTACCTGTGTGTTCTCGCCCTCCAGCCGTGGTGGCCGGATGCTAGACAGGTGGATGGTCTTGTAGTCTCCGGAGCTCAGCTTCACAACAATGGCATCTGCATTCAGAACTTGCATCACCTGTGAGCAAGAAGAAAGAATGCTGGAAAGTGCTTCACAACCCTGCAGGTCCCCAGCTCACACCCGTCACTCAGCATAGGAAGACCAACAGCCCGTGAGGTAGATCCAACTTGATCCTTCACAAGGCAGCAATGGCCATAATTATCAGTCCCCAGGGACTCTGTTAGCTTCCTGACAAGAAAGAATCCATAGTATTCCTATCTGTTGCCCAGACCAAGAAATGTGGTTAGCCACAAAGCCTATTAAAACCTGGAAACCCAGTCTGCGGGTTATTGAAGGTTTTCCTTGAAACAGGCTCTACACTAAAATCAAAAACCCTATCTCTATGTGAATCTAGAAAAAGAGGAAAGCTTGGATTAGAAGAAAGGACCAGAACTGGACGGGAGGGAACTAAAATAGGATGCCCCAACAGAGAGCAGAGATTTCAAAGGCAAGTGAAGGGCAAAGGAACCATCAGCTCAGCATGGGAAGGGGCAGGTCGCTGAGTAACCTCACGTGCAGAAAACTCAATTACTAAGTTCCCACCTCAGCTACTCTGAAAGACAGGGTCCTTTTCAGAATATGGCGTATGGACATGTCCTTGTTTGGTGACCCACAGGCAGAAACATGGGACCCCACTCTCAGTTTCAAAACACTAACTTCCAGCCTAGAGAAAAAAATAAATTTGCAACTCACAGGGCAAAAGCAAAAACATTGTGCAGAGATTATTAGAGCATTCCCCTATGACCACAGCAGGAAACCCCATTCAGCCCAGACGTGCCACATCAAGGCTGTAACTCGACACTGTAATGCAGACAGCCCACAACTCACCCAATCATATGTGCAGCCTGCTGTGCCAACGCTTTTTGGCTTTATTTACTTATTTATTTGCCAGCAACACTTGCTAGGCACTAGTTACTGACTACAAAACATCACCATGTATTCCACCTGCACAACCAGAATCAAACCACCCCAGGGTCAATCAGGTTCATCAGGGCTGCCACGACGGTGCAGTAACCTAGACGGTCAACAGCCAGGCAGAGACTGGGGAGTTCCCTTCCTCTTCAATGCAAGATACAAATGGATGAGCTAGACCCACTTATTCCATACATACATTTTTTCTAAAGATTTATTTATTTTTATTGGAAAGACAGATATACAGGAGAGGAAGAGAGACAGAGAAGATCTTCCATCCAGTGATTCACTTCCCAAGTGGCTGCAACAACTGGAGCTGAGCCAATCCTAAGCCAGGAGCCGGGAGCTTCTTCTGGGTTTCCTACATGGGTGCAGCGTCCCGAGGCTTTGGCCCATCCTCCACCACTTTCCCAGGTCAGAAGCAGGAAACAGGACCGGAAGCAGGGCCGCAGACACCGACCGGTGTTCATAACGGATACTGACGTTCTTAAGCAGAGGATTTAAGCACTCGCCTATTGCGCCAGGCCCTACTCCATAGATATTACACAAACTCACTAATTTTCTTCCAGAAGCTTTTAGATCTTTTAGCACATGAAGTACCATTTAGTAGCACACTTTCCTTTTTTCCATCTTATAAAGATTTATTTATTTTTATTGGAAAGGCAGATATACAAAGAGGACCAGAGACAGAAGGGAAGAGCTTCGTCTGTTGATTCACTAGCCAAGTGACCGCAACAGCTACAAATGAACCGATCTGAAGCCAGGAGCTAGGAGCTTCTTCCGGGTCTCCCATGCGGGTGCAGGGAGATGGATGGAAAGCAGGGCTGCCAGGACATGAACCAGTGCCCATATGGGATCCTCGCACGTGCAATATGAGGACTTTAGCCACTAAGCTACCATGGCACACTTTCAAAATTGGTCACTCTCCCTTTTCTAGAGCCAAGGCAACCACATTCCCAAAAGAGTTCATGGCTTAAGGTACAATCTGAAGCAAGCAAAAGGCAAAAAACAAGTGAGAAAGACTATAGACCAGGAAATAGCAGAGCTCAATGCCATCAGAAGAATGACTAAAAGACAAGGGCAAGCAATGTGTAACTCAACAGAAGGCTGACAAGAGCAAGGGGATGAGAAGCTAGGCCTGGGCTTGCAAGCAATGGCACAAGTGTGAAGAACAGCCCAGTAATCAGCGAAGTCACGGGGGTCTGAACAAGCGAGGAGACTGAGACAGTATGACTTTTCATTTTCCGTTAGAGAAGACTGATGTGCAACCCTTGACATAACAAAATGACAGCCTCACGTAATCATAATTATCCTTCTAGAACCCTCTTACAGACCTGATAATCATGAAGATTAATCACTAAAACGCAAAGAGCCTGAACCCAATTGTGAAGACCAAGAGTGATCTTAGGCGGTCACACCAGGACCAAGGTCAGGGCTAATTGCCTAGGTATGGGTCTTACCAAACAGCATTAAGATGTGCACGGTATGTGGGCACACTTACACAAACTTTAAAACTGCCTGGAATGTACAACCAAAAACAATAGATTTCCATTACCACCTAGACAATTAAAGCCTGGTAAACACAGAGGATGGAATCCCCTCATGGGAAAATATACCGAAACATTAAAACTCCCAGGGAATGATTTCCCTATTCTTCAAAACCCGACATTTGGTTAACAGAAAAAGCATTACGCAATGGGTGTCAGATCATGTAGAGGGTGAAAGCTCCATGATATTTGCTTATTCTACAATTCTAACCTCCAACCAAACGGAAGAAAAAAAATCCACAAAGTCAAGCCAAGCAAAGTTAACTGTTATAGTAAATCAGAACAGCTCTACAATGAAAGGCTACCAGAAGGCTAAGAGGATAGTCACCAAGCATCTCCTACACACACAGGGCCGCATGGCAAGAGTCCCTGTGCTGGACAAAACACAGAGAAGACAGATCAAGGCATTCTCTGCTCTCTAGCCAAGCTCGGAATGGAACAAAACCAAGCAAAGTATCACAGTGCTCACACCTTCAGCCCCTCATTCCAGAATGTGAAGCTCTAAGCATACCCTGGACAAGGGCCTGGGATTCTTCCCCCTCCTAATGAATGTGTTAGCAGAAGGACGCATGGCTCCTTGGAGCTGTAAATTTCTCCTCAGCAGCAGCCTCTCTGCTCTGCATCTCCCTGATTAGAAACCTCCTCTTCAGGAACTGCGCCCTCTTGACGCTGCCAGCTAAGCGTGCTTTAGCGTTTGGGTGAAGTGGGAGGGTGAGCGCGTGTGTGTGTCCACGTGCTTGCATGTAAGTGGGGTCTGTGCCTTTCGCTTCCTTAGTAAATTGTGTCATTGCCATTCAGAGACTAAGCAGCTCCAAGCAGACATGGAATAAGCCATAAAACCCCAATGACAGTCACACACTGTGCAATAAGTAAAATGCGAACTCGTTTGCTTGCCCCAGCCCGCTCCTCAGGACTGCTACAACTGTGTGCTCACAAGGCTGATTCTCGCGTGCTGCTCATCAGCACCGCTCCCTGTCTCCTCACGCCAACCCATGCACACATGCCACGAGATGCCTGTGGCACAGGAACGAGCCAGTAGTTGGACTCCAGACACGTGCAGCCAACCCAATTCCCTCCACTTGTCTTGACGCCAATTATGCAAAGTACAATGGTCTAGTGATGACAATGTATGGGCTAACAGCTACCACAGTCAACAGAAGAGCAGAGCTGTGTCAGGGCAGGGACCCTGCCTCTCTTTCCAGCCTTCTGTCATGCTCCCAGCCACAGAGCTTATTTCTGTCTCTCCTCCTCTCTGTAAAAGGCTGTGTCTTTCTCTGTGTTTCAAGTAAAATAAACTGTAAAATAATCATGGTAATATCCGATGAAAGCATGTCTTGGTGCCCAGACGTAACTACACCAGATACTATAATATCTTCTTAATGAGGGATCAAGATTCAGCAAAAATTCAACCAAGGGACATTTCACAAATACCTCATCAATACTTCCCCTCAAAACACCAGACATCAAAAACTAGTCTTAAGAACTGTCCTATCCCAGAAGAGCCTAAGGAAAAAAACACAAGTAAATTGGATCTAGTGTCCCGGGACACAAAGGACGCTGGGAAGAAGGAAGAACACCTCAGACAATATCCTCCACATTGGGAAATAAATTAGAACACATCATGTAAGACATTACCAGTAGGACATTGTGAAGCTGTAGACTACCTGCTCAATTTCCCTGAACTGCCCTAAAAAAATCAAGTGCCTACCCCAAATGGCAAAATCTTCTCCAACTGAATCAACTTCCTGTTTTCTTATCAGCAAATCCGTTTGCCAAGCTAAGCTGCAACCCAGGGTTGTTTTTTCTTCCTGGCAGCACAGACCACTCCTCCCGGCCTTTCCCAGGGCTTCCTGCTCAGCTGCAAGTCATGCCCCAAGTCAAGGGACCGGCCAGCATCTGCTGTTTTCCTCCACTCAACAAAACAAGGATACACTGAATGCATTTGATTAATAATCATCTAAGACATCCACTTATATTCAGTACAAACTCAAAGTCCAACTCAGAGAAAATAGACAAGAAACAAAAAGGTATCCAAGTACACAAACATTTCTAATAATTGAAAAAAGTTTAAGCTAACAAATTCATAGCAAAGCAGGATATAAACATCTAAGAATCGCTATAAATGCGAACACATTTCCTGTGCATGTATTAGAAGACATTATATTATCAAGATGTCAATATTATCCAAAGTAATTCATAGATTTAATGCAATTGCTAACAAAGTCTCAAGGATAATTTTTACAAAAACAGGTTCCCACTTTAAATCTGTATGAAATCTAACAGCCAATCAATTCAGAAAAAGAATAGGGGTGGAAGATTCATGTATTTAGATTTGAAAATTTCCTACAAAGGTAAAGGAACCAAAACAGCATGCCATAAGCATATAAGCAGTTATGCACCTATGCATATAGACAAACCAAAGAAATGCAATACAAGGGCCCAGTGCAGTAGCCTAGCGGCTCAAGTCCTCGTCTTGAATGTGCCAGGATCCCATATGGGCACTAGTTCTAATCTCGGCAACCACGCTTCCCATCCTGCTCCCTGCTTGTGGCCTGGGAA